GGCCTGGGGCTGGGAGCTATGGGGCTGGGGCTGGCGGGGGGGGGGGCAGGGTGATGTCTCTCTGGAGGGACTGGTGGACTACAGGTTGTGGGTCGGGGGGAGATGCAGGCTGTGGGGCTGGCGCTGCAGGATCTAGGGGGGAGGTGCAGGCTGTGGGGCTGGGGCTGCGGGATTTAGGGGGGAGGTGCAGGCTATGGGGCTGGGGCTGCAGGATCTAGGGGGGAGGTGCAGGCTGTGGGGCTGGGGCTGCGGGATCTGGGGGGAGGAGGAGCTGCAGACTGGTGGGTCCAGGGCTGCTGCTGGGTGGGCAGGGGGAAGGAGGGGCAGGTGCGGGCTGTAGGTCCAGGGCTGGGGGCTGCAGTTCTCAACAGGGATCATGGGAAGTTGGTCACACGTTGCCTCCCCCCCCCCAGGCCATGTTTGCTGCCCAAGTTCAAATCTGGGGCCTGGGCAGGAGAAACCAAGGCAGAGGCTGGAACCCAGGGCAGCCTTGGCAGAGGGGTTTACACAGAGGAGGTGGGGTCTGCCTACTCCCCAGGGAGGGCGGTAGGAAGGGCCTGGGGGAGAGGAGAGCAAGCCCAGACCCCCACCCCCAACTCAGAGAGCAGGGCCATGTCCTCATTGCAGGCCTAGGGCAGACATGGGGGGACAGGGGAGGGGACGGACACGGGACCTGCCTAAAGCCACTAGAAATGAGGCTGTGGTTCAAGCAGCTGAGAAGTAGAGTCTGGCAGACACCCCAGTGTCACTCAGCAGCAGTCAGCAATAGTAATAGAGTCAGAAACTGCCTTCCACCCACCTCCTGCCCTCACAGGCCTGGATAAAACTCATCTGTCCTCTCAGTGAACCAGGTTCCACTTGCAGGGGTCTTTTGGCTGCCCTCATCCGATCAGCTCTCCAGCCGGCCGTGGAGTTCAGGAGAAAAAGGCAAGACCTTGAATTTCTAGGAGAAAAAAACAAGCAGACACCCCACCCCCTTGTTTCTGGACTGGAGGGGTCCCTTTTCAGGCCTTTTTCCTGCACCGCAAGGAAGCAACGTCAGGTCTATTTCTGTTTAGCTTTGCGGTGGCCCTGATCCTGCCCTAGGGCCAGCACCAGCATCACTATCTCCCAGCCTGAAGATGCACAAAAGGACCCCAAAACGGCCACAAATACGCAGAACTTATGTAAAATGAGGACGTATCTAGAGGCCTCAGGCCGGGATCAGGCCCCACTTCATAGGCTGCACCCAGACATCACAAAGAAGGCCCTTCCCAGAGAACATATGGTCTGAGCAATCAGTCACACTGGTATCCCCGCATCAGCTCCATAGTGTCACTTTACCTGCAGGACCCATGGGACTTGAAATCCTGATGCTGGACTAGTCAGATTAGGAAGGTTTGTATATAGCAACTTTATTTGGGGGGGGGAAGGCTATAGCAAAGGGCAATTGAGATCACCCAGCATCAGAAATTGGTCCTCAACTGTGTCTTGTTTTGTTCAAATTTTGCCAGGGCCCTGGCTTTTTCTCTCTCTATTTATCTAGCGCCCATCACCAATGTATCCGGACAACTCCCCACTATTAATAGATGTATCCTCACAATGCACCTGAATGACAGGGGAGGAGTATGAGCCCCATGGCAAACTCACAGGGAGATTAGGGGCTTTCCCCATAAGACATTTCTTCCTTCCACTCTCCTCACTGTCCTAGCAGGCACAGAGAGGGCACTGCTGTTGGGAACCTCCCACCACTGACCACGGTGCTGGCCTCTGCTTTTCAGAAGCATTCACACTGGAGACCTAGAGAGAACTACATGGGAAAGAAGCTCACAGTATTATACAACCCGCTCAAGCACTGCTGGGGGAAAGTTCACAGTGCTGGCGAGTGAGAGGGCATAAAACACTTGAATGAACCAAGTCCGTTCCATTGTTACCAGCAGACATCGCTAGAGCAGCCTCTCTCTGAGGCCTTGGAACGACACAAGAGCCAAATCCACAGAAACATGGCGGCTAAGAGCATAGCAATATTTATTCCCTTACAAATCGTTACAAAACATTCACCCTTTGCTGATTTGACAGACAATCCCAGGTACAGGGGGTCACTAGTAACACAGCTCAAGGCTACCAGATGTGTTATGCTGACACTTCACAGCAGCTCATGAGAATCTGGGCCTTCGTGCTGAGTGAGGGGACCTGCAGTCAGAGAGGGCCTGGCCCAGAGCGACCGTTCTCCTTTAGCCTGGGCCTTCTAGTACTTTGAACCCCTTAAAGGGGCTCTGGCAGGTAGTCTAGGCTCAACAACGAACACTTTTACGTTGGTATAATCTAACCAGGCTATAATAAACCTTTGCACACCATGTCTGTGAGGATCTCACACAGCCAATTAAGCCTCACAATGCCCCTGTGAGCTCGATTACTATCATGACTCCCATTTGACCGATGGGAAACTGAGGCACAGGGAGGCTGCACTGCAATTCAGCGGCAGCGTCAAGAACAGAATCCAGGAGTCCTGTCGGGCTGCGTTTGAACATAAGCCACTGGATTCTTAGTGCCCCGTGTGTTTGGTTTTTTAAATCCATGACTCCACGGCTGAAAAATTGATTAAAAAAAAAGCCAGTAGTCACTATCTGTGGATCTACAAGCAAAACATCATGTTCCTCTGGCTGCCTGCACAGCAGCAGGAGCAAATGAACAAATGCTTCCCCCGGTGCTGCTGTGACACCATCCGTGCAGCTCCTGTACAAAAAAGGATGTTGTGGTCAGATAAGGTGCCACAGAGGTTAATGCTGCTGTTAAATCAAGAGGCAGTGTCGAGATCCATTCAAAACACTGGAAAATGTCCCCGCTTGCCAGCTGCGAAAGGATGGAACTGGGAGGGGAAGAAATTGCATTGCCAAGTTCTTCCACAGCCCAAGCAATGGAGAGCGGTGGGGAAAAAAGCAAACCTCAGCACCCCCTTTATTTGCATTGCTAGTTATTTTTATAGCAAACATCTCACATTAAATGGTACAACCACATGCTGTTATGTTACCATCCAGGTTTTTACATCACACGTTCTATTCAGGTTCCATTTATAGTTCATAAAGGGTTAATAACTGATTAACAGATGTTCTCATAAATGGCTAATCCATTGTTATTAGAGAGTCTAATGGGTTGCTTATAACCAGGGTTCATTACCATACATATGCCTTCTACTGATGTGCTTCTAATTCATGCTACTCGTGTTCGTAACAGGCTTCTATTCATCATTTATTAACCCTTTATAAATGCTACTTTATATTCACGAGTGACTGATTTTGAGAGGAGCTACTCGGCCGAGCGACTTGACAGTTCTGTTCAAAAAACCATTTGCGGAGTGGTTTAAACAGATCAGAAGCACAGAAGAGCAGCAGAGAGAAAATCAAACCAAAAGAGGACCAACCCTATTTCCTTTACTGCATGCTACAGAACCCTATCGGGTTTTGCAGAATTTGCCAGTACAGGACAACATGTACGGCTGGGCTTTCCAAAGGGTCCGAAACACATGAGGGGAGCAAGGCACCTAACAGCATTCGATCCCTAAGGCCTGGCCTGGCACCCACGGGTGCTGAGCACCCATGACTCCCAGTGATGTAGATGGGGGTCAGACTGGCAAGCTGACATCGGTGGAGCTGCAGGTACCAGGCACCCAGCTGGGTTTGCCTCTAAGCCTCCACATCTCACCCTGCTTCTTGTGAAGTGGTTTTTAAAATATATTAACATAACCATTTTAGGAAACCAATACAAATACAAGGACGGGGGGGGGACCACTCCCCCCGAACC